AGCCAGAGGCCTGCCAGGGGCACCATCGACCTCACAGGGGCACCACCAGCCTCGCACGTGCACCTTGGGATTGTAAAGGGCTCCATGGGCCTGTCGGGAGCACTTCAGGCTTGTCAGGGGCACCACAGTCCTGCCAGGACCCAGGGGCACCAGCGGCCTAGCAGGAGCACCACAGACCCGCCAGGGGCACCACAGGCCTGCCAGGGGCACCACAAACCTAGCAATGGCACCACAGACCTGTCAGGGGCTCCACAAGCCTGTCAGGGGCACCTCAGGCTTGTCAGGGCCCAGGGGCACCATAGTCCTTCCAGGGACACCACAGACCCGTCAGGCCTATGGTGTCCCTTCTGGAGCACCAGAGGCCTAACAGGGGCACCACAGGCCTGCCAGCGGCACCAACGGCCTCGTCAATGAGACGTTGCAAAGCATTGCAATGCGGTGCCTCTTAATATTGTTTGGCTGAGACCGCTATACAGTATACACAATAAGGTATCTAGCTAAATCGGTTTTCGTGATAACTCCTTATTTGTGACTATGCCAATGCCGGTTGGGTCATTTATGACCCGTACTTATAACTTGAGAACCGATGGAACAATTTTTTTAAGCTTGCACAGTTTTCTTACTGGGACCCGTGTGGCTAACATTTGTTAAGGACAACTAAAGAATCAAAAAATAAAAATTCCGGCATTAATGGGTTAATGGGTGGCAATAGGTATGATATTTAGGGACTCCGATACTTCGAAGGGCGCCACCGTTTGTTTAAGAGTGACATCATCACTTTGAGGGGCACCACCGATACTGTTCGGGGCGCCACCGACACTATAAGGGGCGCCACCGACACTGCCAGGAGCACTTTGACCGGCGTTACTATCACATTTAAGGGCGCCATGAGCACATTGGGGGCGGCACCATGACGTGGAGGGGCGTTACGGAAGGTTTGAGGGGCGGCAACATCATTGAGGAGCGCCTCCGACACTTCGAGGGACACCAGCATTTCTTTGAGAGGCGGCACCTTGACTTTTGAGGAGAAACCACCGACACTGTAAGGGGCGGTGCCATCACTTTGAGGGGCGCCACGGATGGTTTGAGAAGCGGCACCATTATGTATATGGAGGGGCGCTACAGAAAGTTAGAGGGCGGCAACATTGTATTGATGACTGATGAGTTCCTCCAAAACTTTGAAGGGCGCCACTGACACTTTAAGGGGCGGCACCAGCACTTTTAGGGGCGGCAGCATCATTTTGAGGGGCGCCACCGACTCGTTGACAGGAGACACCATCACATTCAGGGGCGCCACTGGCACTTTGAGGGAGGCACCATCACATTGAGGGGCGCCACCGATACTGAAAGGGGCGGCATCATCTTCTTGAGGGGCGGCATCATCTGCTTGAGGGGCAGCTCCATCACAATGAGGGGCTATGTGGATACCTAGAGGGGCGGCACCATTACATTGGTGGGTTCCTCTGACACTTCGAAGAGCGTCACTGACACTATAAGGGGCGGCAGCATCATTTTGAGAGGCGCCATCGACTCGTTAGCGGGCAGCACCATCACATTCAGGGGCGGCATCATCTGCTTGAGGGGCGGCTCCATCACAATGAGGGGCTATGTGGATATCTAGAGGGGCGGCACTATCATATTGGTGGGTCCCTCCGACACTTCGAAGGGCGTCACTGACACTATTAGGGGCGGCAGCATCATTTTGAGGGGCGCCACCGACTCGTTGGCGGGCAGCACCATCACATTCAGGGGCGCCACCGGCACTTTGAGGGCGGCACCATCACATTGAGGGGCGCCACCGATACTGAAAGGGGCGGCATCATCTTCTTGAGGGGCGGTATCATCACATTGAGGGGCTCCACAGATGCTTAGAAGGGCGGCACCATTACATTGAGTGGGGCTACTAACAGAGTTAGGGGCGGCACTGTCACATTGAGTTGCGGGATGATCACTTTCTATAGACGGCTGGTTCACTTTAAGAGGCGGCATTATCATTTTGGAGGGCAGCAGCCTCACTATGAATGACGGCACCTAGCCTGCATGTGCGTGCTGCATCCTAGAGGGGGCGGCAACTGGGTCGGCAAACGGCTGTCACTGGGTCGGCATTCTCCGTGACTGGGTCGGCAATTGCCGACCCAGTTAACATGTTAAAATACGCCCTGTCACAGTCAGCGTTCCAAAAATTTCCCATTTGGGCTGAAGATGACACTCAAGAATAAGAATGGATAATTTTCCACTCTCACATTTTGGGTGGCTAGAATTGTCCACTCAGACACCAAAGAGAATTCTGAAGTTTGGGACACTGTTCACTAGTGTTCACCAAAAGCGTACATAACTTAGTTTTTTTAGACAAATATTAGGGTTGCACAGTGCGCTTGGGCTTTTGAGTCAATTCTTTTCCATGCGACACCAATATGCTTAACCCTCGCCCGCACATGGGGGGGGGGGGGGGGTGGTTGCCACCCCCCCAGGTAGTCTTTCTGCTCTGCACTCAACATTTTTTAAGCTAGAAAGCTGATTTTTCGTATAGCTGCTCGTCTATCCTTTCTTGATGTTCGCTGAAAATTTCAAGTTTCTGTGATTTTTGGTTTCGGAGATATGACCTTGTTTTTCAGGTCATGTCATGACCCAAATGGCCAATTCTCAACATCTTGCGTTTGCCATGGGCCTTGTGAGCTTTTGACACCCTGATTTCGGCCTTTTTTGCCAGTCTTACCTCCCACCTATCATGGAACATGTTGTTCGACGATGTACAGGGGTCAAGGTCAGGGTCAAGGTCAACCTAGGTCATCTAAGATAATTGCGTTTTAGGCAAGCTGAATTTACTTTTTGTGAAGTTTTTTGATTGCATTTTTGGTAAAAGCTTCTCAGATCATGATTTCATGTAATATGGACCCAAAAACAATCGGTGCACACATCAGTATACACACAGACACACACAGACATACAAACACATATAATTGACCTTGACCTAACTTGACCTGAAATGACCTCAGCAGCAAAATTCTGGTCGGGTAGTGTGACAAAGAGGTTCTAGCTGGCTTGGCACCAGAAAACAGCATCGTCATCGGTATTTGATAAGCAGCGCACTTGATATCCAGCGGTGACCCAAAACAGCAACATTTTTTAGTTTGACCTGACCTGGAAGATCAATGACTGACCTGAGAAGGTAAAACTGGGTATCATTGGATTCGTCTCTTCCCAAAGAATCTTTTTGGTCTTTACCGCTAGGCTCTATCTCCAACAGGAACGAAATGGCGCGGGGGGGGTGGCAACCCCCCCCCCCATGTGCGTTCTAGGATGGGAAAATGGCATGTGCGGGCGAGGGTTAATGATCATTTTCAGAGATGTTGGGGCTGCTGCTACAACCCCCTTTTGGGATTCCTGCTACAACCCACTTCACTAAAGTTGCACTCGTGCTGTTCACAATTCCTCCCGATCCACCCGACAACGCCCGATCCCGTCCGACCGCTTCCGAATCTCCGACTATGTCGGCGAGCGATCCAGCGAGCGGGGGGGGGGGGGGGGGGGGGCTCGCTGATTTTTAATATCCGACCGGCCGTAAGTTATCGTCCAAAGTTTTATCTGCGTCAATATTTTGTGCATAGGGGAAGCGGGGGTAACACCGCCCCCCTAAGCTTTTCGCCAAAATGAGAGGGTATGTGTGAAGTCTCTTGGTAGTTATTGTTTTGGTTACAATATTTAGGGTAAGGTGCCTAATTAGCGACCCTTTCCGATTTGCGACCTACCTCCCTACAGAAAAACTGGCAGGAGAAAACGGGGTAAAAGCATCGTCAAAAGGTCAGCCATACTTTGGTTATCAAATTAAATTATTTCCCGGTCGTCGATGTTTCTGGTGGGACGTTTCAGGTGAGTTTAAATAAAAATGACGAGTTTCTTATCCAAAACGTGTGTGTTTGGGCCCTCTGTGATGAAAAGCGATGCACATTAGGATGATGTACCTTTTTTATTCTGAATTGACATTCCTTTTTCAATTGATTGCCGTTTTCCCATAGTGAATCGCTCAACTGTGCACAGCATGGCGGTTAAAAATGTGTCGCAACTCATATTTCCTATTTGCGCCTGACATGGTCGCAAATAGCCCAAGAAGGGAAAGAAAGGGGAAAAGAGAGAAATGAAAATGAGGTGTTGCTGAAGCTTGCAATGTGTGGCAGGGGATGCCAAATGTCATCACCGACTGCAGGGGTGCCGAATTCAGCGCGGACCTCGAATACCATACAAGATAGCCCGCAAAATTTGGGTTTCCACCTTCTTTTCGCCTTCGGTGCACCACGTGATCAGTTTTTACTTACGTAAATGTGTTGGATAAACGTTCCTTTTCGAGTGATTGAGTGCTTTGCGTATAGGTTACCTTTTTGAGATCATATTTCATCTTTTCAGGCGTCGCATTTTTTGCCATTTTTAATATGGGGAAACCCATAGACTTATTAGCGACCCTCCCCGGTCGCTAATCGGGAAGAGTTCCCTATTAGCGTTTTTTTGCAATGGTTCGCCAAAATGCTCACTACAAATAAATTAGTGAATATTGGGGCAGAAAATGACTATATTTTAATAGAAAAATGAACGATCTCTCCGAAAATCAAGCCAGTAACACAGTGGCACCCACAGAGCGTGAGCAATGACGGTTCAAATTAAGGGGGTCGCTAATTAGGCACCTTACCCTAAACATTTTCTCACGTGTTTTAGGTACTTATTTTGCATGCTCCTAAAAGGTTTTCATGTATCACGACTTTTAAAAATACCTTGCATATTTGCTGCTTACAAATTGTGTGGGTAACCCCGCCACCGGTGTTGATGTTAACCCAACCCATTCTTACGAAGGCTTTTAATTGTTCAGAGATCGCGTGCGATGAGTTTTGTCGAGTCTCCATGCAGCGTACTTCTGTATTCAGCGGCGATGGCGACAGTGTCACAGTCACAGCCCGACCCCCCGTCCAGCCGAGCCCACCCCAGCGTCTGGCACGGGCGGTCACGTGACCGGCCGGTCACGTGACCGGTCGCGGCCAATCGGGCCGCGCCCTCGACGGGTCAGCTAGGGTTACATGCACCACATCACCTCCCTTCCAAAAAAAAAAAACACGCTTATAACCTCACTGTACACCTCACGGAACGCGACAAAACCAGACACTCTGGAAAAAGTCAGGAGAATTCCGCACACGACCGGATCTCCGAGGTGACGGCGCCGATGTTTGCGCACCCGGAACGTCCGGTCCGCCACTGGTCTCCGACGGCCCCCGGCGCGCACCGGCGGACGCCGCCCGCTCAGGGGAACGCACCACAGTTTTTGGATTCGACGACTGCGACTGCGAACCCGTGGCAGCACTCGGGACTGGCGGCGGCTGCAGCTCCTCAACCGGCGGCCCAGCAGTCGAACGACGCGTGGCCATGTCGTTCTCGGCGGCGGCCAGCGCGGCGCCTTGAGAGACGGTCCCAGCAGTCGGTCGAGGGACGCCGCCACGGGAGATCTCGACATCAGTGGGCAGCGTCGTTACAGCCGGTGTGGTAGTGCATGCCGCACCAGCCGGTTGACCTGCCGAAGGAACAGAGCTCAGAAGCTGGTCCGCATGTCTGCGCCACGTCCTGCCGTCATCAAGGCGAACAACGAGGGACACTGGTCCGTCAGCACCAACGATTGTACCAGGTAGCCAAACGCTTCCAGAGCCATAGTTCCGTGCGAGCACGCGGTCGGTTACAGAGAAGAGTCTATGCCTCGCCGAACGATCATGATGGCTCTTCTGAGCGAACTGAGCCTCGGCCACTGACCTGTTCAAATCCGGATACATACGATCGAGTCGTGTCTTCAGCTTGCGTCCCAGCATCAGCTCGGCAGGCGTTACAGTCGTTGTGGAGTGAGGCGTCGTTCTCTGCCGCAGGAGCCACTTGGACAACGCCAGCTCCCAGCCGTCTCCTGCGTCTCTCTGCAACACGAGTTTCACTTCCTTAACCACGCGCTCGGCCAACCCATTGCCCTGGCTATGTCGGGGCTCGATCGTGCGGTGGGAGACCCGGTTGCCGGCCAAGAAGCGCTGAAACTCATCACAGACGTAAAGGTGGTAGCATTGTCGGAGACTAACATATCTGGCAGTCCCCACCTTGCAAACACACGGCGGAGACAAGCGATAACGGGAGCAGAGGCGGTGGACGGCAGAATCTCCGCCTCCACCCACTTGGAATGGGCGTCGACCATGCAGAACACATACTTGCCGCGTACCGGTTCGGCGAAGTCGCAGTGGATCCGGGACCACGGTCTAGATGGCCAGGCCCATGGATGCAGCTCGGCGTGCGGCGGCTTGGGTCGACTCTGCTGGCAAGGTGAACAGTTTTGCACAACCCGCTCGATCTGCGCGTCGATACCAGGCCACCATACAATCGATCTGGCTAGCGACTTCATACGCCGCATCCCGGGGTGACTCACGTGGAGTTCACGCAGAACAGTCTCCCTACTTGACTGGGGTACCACCACCCTGTGACCCCACAGAAGCACTCCCGCTGTCTGAGTAAGCTCGTCCCTCCTTCTGATAAACGGTTTGAAGTCATCTGGTGCCTCGGACGGCCAGTCTGCGAACTGCACCCACCTCAGGACTTTGGACAGCACCGGATCTCGACTGGTCTGCAGCGCGATCGCCTTGGAATCCAGCCAGTCTGCACCTGCGAGGAGAACCAGCTCTTCAGCATCATGAGGCACATCATCAACCAGCAGCACCAGCTCTTCCATCTGTGCGCCGACTTCTGTGGGAACAGGTAAGCGACTCAGTGCATCTGCGTTACCCATCTGGCCTGTAGGGCGGAACCGTATGGTGTAGTTGTAACACGACAGTTTAAGCGCCCACCTGCGAATCCGCGCGGCAGTCATCTCTGGCAGTCCTTCATGTTCACCGAACAACTTCACTAAGGGCTTGTGGTCAGTAACCAGAGCGAACGGTCGAGGTACGCCACACAAATAATTGTGGAACTTTGTGACTCCAAAGATTATGGCCAGTCCTTCGCGCTCTATCTGGGCGTATCTAGACTCAGATAGTGACAGCCGTCGAGATGCGAAAGATGCAGATCGCTGCATCGAGATGCAGCGCGCCGCAGCGCCGCGGGGCAGCGGCCGGCCGTGCTGGCGGTGCGGTTCCAGACACGGCGGTACGTGCCGCTTCAAGGACTACCGGTGCCATTCCTGCGGTGCCATCGGTCATCTGTCGCGCTGCTGTACGCGAGGCAGAGACGAGCGCACCAACCGACTGGCTGAAGATGATCCTGCTGCGTCACCGGAAACGCTGCAGCTGGATAATCTCTCCAGCTCTGACCCCGTCTACATGGTAAGACGCACTGGGGTGAGTGTGCCGCCCATCTGGTGTCCCGTCGAGATGCATGGTCAGCGGGTGGATATGGAGTTGGATACGGGCGCGGGGGTCACCATCATTGACGAGCATACTTACCTCAGGTTGAACAGTCGGCCCAAGTTGACACCGTGCTCTACTGCCTTGAAGGCGTACTCAGGTGATGTCATTCCTGTGTTGGGTCAGTTCACCACTGATGTATCGTACAACGGTTCTGTGCACAGGGATCTTCCCGTGATCGTGGTCAAGGGCTCTGGTCCGAGCCTCATGGGCCGCAACTGGCTGCACCTGATGAGGATCAACTGGTCTGAAGTACACGCTCTACGCTCTCCAACGTCACAGCCGGCCACGGACATGATCAAACGCAAGTACCCCGATCTGTTCCTTCCACGGTTGGGTGAGCTTAAAGGGGTGCGTGTTCACCTTGATATTGACCAATCTGTGAGGCCCAAGTTTTGCAAGGCCCGTTCGATTCCGTATGCATACAAGGCAAAGGTAGAGGAGCAGTTAGATGCTGATATCGCTAGTGGGGTTTTAGTACCAGTGAAAGACAGTCGCTGGGCAGCCCCTATTGTACCTGTGATTCGGCCTGATGGCAAGATCAGAGTCTGCGCAAATTTCAAGCTAACCGCTAACACTGCTGTGCGCATGGACCGTTACCCTCTGCCCAAGACGGAGGACATGCTGTCTTCCTTGAGTGGGAAAAATATATTTTCCAAACTCGACCTAGCGCAGGCATACAATCAGTTGGTCGTCCATGAAGAGTCTATGCCTCGCCCGCCATCGGGCGGTGCCCGTCCGCCAGAGCTCGCGCCGGCACGGCCCGACCCGAACGGCGGCGGGCCCTCGGGCGGTCCGCGGGTGACCCTGAAAGCAGCAGCTCCGTCCGTGTGGATCAGCTGCGACTCACGTCTGACCGTCTCAGACGCCCTGGCATGCTGCAAAGCGATATCCAACGTCAGGTTATCCTTGCACAACAGCTCATTCTGGCACTTGCTGTCGCTCATCCCACACACGACTTGATCACGTAAAGCAGTCTGCAAGTACGGGCCGAAATCACAATTGACCGCGATCTTCTTGAGCTCAGCAACAAAATCCATGACACTCTCCCCTGGTGCCTGAGTACGTTTGAAAAACTTGTAACGTTCAGCGATCTCGATGTTTGACGGTTTGTAATGTGCACTCAAAAGATCTACGAGCTAATCATATGTACAATCTTCTACGGTTCTTGGGATGATCAAATCCTTCAGTTTACTGTACGCTACAGTACCAATGCATGTTAAAAACACAGACTTCTTTTTATCTCCCAATATCTCATTGCTGACACAAAAATGGTCAAACAGTTCCCGGTAAGTGTCAAACCGGTCGATCGATGGATCGAATGTACTTATCGAACCGATGACCATGTTGCTGAGTTCAGTCCTCTCCCGTTTCCTTGCTTCGTGACTTCGTGCTGAAAAATCCTCGTCGCCAGTGTGGAGTCTCCATGCAGCGTACTTCTGTATTCAGCGGCGATGGCGACAGTGTCACAGTCACAGCCCGACCCCCCGTCCAGCCGAGCCCACCCCAGCGTCTGGCACGGGCGGTCACGTGACCGGCCGGTCACGTGACCGGTCGCGGCCAATCGGGCCGCGCCCTCGACGGGTCAGCTAGGGTTACATGCACCACAAGTTTCCTGTCGGTAAGTGGTAATTTTCGCAAATAATCGGTAATGGACACCTAAATAGGTATAGGTTCATCAGCTGTTTGCCAGTTTTATACAGCTGGCAAGTGCTTGGTCGGGATGCATGAAAAATATAAAGTAAAAAATCAAATAAGCTGCTTATTCCCGACTTAGGAACATCTACGATCATAAATAAAGCGTGTCTTTGGAGTTTCATCACTTATCACGCTACAAACAGGAAACACCGCAACCTCAATTGGGGTAACACCGCCACGGGGTGGCGGTGTTCCCCAATAAGTGATCACAAGCAAAAATCGCCAGCGGTAAGAATGTACTACACGGTTCAAGCAAACTTATCTTACTGGACAAAGCCGATCAGTTATTTTTCGATGTAATCAAGTAAATCAAAATGAGTCTCTACTTAAAGACATTCAAAAGTGCTCCCAACTCATCGAATTTTTATAAGAGAATGTGCATTTTTCTTTAAATGCCCACATTGAGCTTCGATTACACTGAAACACCGGAACACAAATCAGAAGACGCTTACCTTCGTGCGGTCAATAGGAAATAACGGATTTTTACGCTTCACATTTCATACTTTCGCCGCCAGATGGGGTGGCGGTGTTTCCCACAGTGGCGGTGTTACCCCCGCTTCCCCTACTTGTGCGATTTTATGTGCACCGCCGGAGTATCACCACTGAGAGGGTTGTGGGTCCCTACTCTCTACTCTCTCCTCTCTCTGAAGAGTCGGGGGGAGGGGTGGAGGCCCGTTTTTTACATTTTTTAAAGGGACCCTCCCACCTTCAAAAAAGTTAATGAACTGGCATAAAAGTGATGTAGCGTGAATCACAAAGAGCGAAAATGAACATCTACCAAATTTTACCGGAAAATGTTCACCCGTTTTCGAGATATAAGACTTTTATTTTTGTTTACTTTTTGGGAACTCCGCTGTTTCTATGACGTCACGTAAAGGTTTTCTTTACGTCGGCATTTGGAAGCAATAGTTTGGTATCAAAGTGCGACAAATATTGCGCGAATGATGCGTTTATCTTATCAAGGTCAATATATGATGGCCAATAAAGGATTCCAGGACAATCTTCTTATGGCATTTCTTCGTATCGCAATTCTTCGTCTGCAAATCTTCGTCAGGGCATTTATTCGTATCCCATTACTTTGTCTCGCATCAGGGTATATGAAAATCGGCTCGCATTTCTTCTTCAACGCAAATACCTATATGCAAAAGTAAGCATTGAGGGACAAATAAATGCACCGACGAAGATTTGTAGACGAAGAAATGCGGACGAAAAATTGTGCTACGAAGAAATGTCATGCGAGGATTCGTTCGGGTACCATGACATTTATGTGATTTCAAAGTCAAGGTTCACAGCTGATCTGCTAAATCAAGCCAAGAATCCAAACTATCAAAAAACTATAAATATTTGTTTGTCTGTCACAGAGGTCTCAAGCAATATAAGGTTGACATATGTTGAATCAAAAATCTACTGCCACAACTCACATCTCCTGCCTTAGTTTATCATTGTTGTTTAAACTTTCTTTCAAGAGAAACAGAAGCCAGTAGATGATATCACTTCAGATGATTGTTTCAAGATCTGAGTTCAAATGGAAATAAAAGCAAGATCAAGATGAAACAGGGATTATTGCTGTTAAAGTAGTTTGGCCATGATACAACAAGCACATAAATCATTAGCCAAATCAAATACTGGTTGGTTTGTCAAGATGTTTGTTGTCTGTCGTCTGTCGAGCTGCTATGAACACTGAACGCTCTCACTCTTACTTTAAAGATAGTAGTTTAAGTTGAATGGTAGTGAGCTGTAATTAGACAGAGCAGCTATTCAGTGCTCACATCAAGCCAGGCTAGGAAATGGCATCAACTGTGGTGGGAGGAAGCAGGTTCGGCAGCCCTATGTTGTAAACTTCTGTTGTGTCTTGTGTTTGATCAACTTATGTTTTCTGCTCTGTTTTGTGCAGTGATAGTAGCAGGTAACTGCATGCTTGTCAAATTATGTGAATAAACGAATTCATAACATTGCATTTTTCTCTCCATGCAAGGAACAAGTAAGATGTTGTAGAAAATGTAATAGAGGGCTGCATTGCTGATTTTGCACTTTATCAGAGCTTTATTAAGAATTGCTTTCCTGAAAGCTACACACAGGCCACAGCACTGAAATTCACAATGTCATAGCTTTTGGCAGAAAAAAAGAAAAGACTTACCTAGGTAAAATTGGCTGAAAGTATGGCAGAGCAGGTCTTGATGCGTATGCCCATCCATGTGCTTGCCGAAGCCGAACTGACTGCAAGTTGCAACACATTAACTCTGACCCACCATGGTGGCTGGCATATCCTGAACGTTCACCACTCTAAACAAGACAACTTTCAGCCCTCAGCATTGTATTAAAACACTGTACATGACACTCAAAATTTGTTTCAGTGCCATCCACGAACATCAGTCGCCATTCACCAGGCCAGTAAAAACAGAATAGATAATAGTTTCAAACCCATGTAGTCAGAGTTACAAGGTCTGCACCTCAAAACAAAATCCAGGTGACATTCACCACGCCAGTAAAAAACAGGTACTTAGGTAACGTAACAGCTTCAAATCTGGTAACATGTTGGTCGGACTTTACACTACCATATTTACATGGAATAATATGATACCAAACAATAGTGCAACCATTCTGGACAACAAAAGTGTATGATAAAATTAATTTAGAATACTTTGGCAGCATGTGATTTACGAGCACAGGCAGGTGTTACCTACCAGCCTTCTCAATGCTCGTAAAACCAACATTGTAGTTTTGATTTTACCTTATATGATAACACACTTGGCTGCAATGGCACATTTAATTTAATACTGTGAAAAGACCAGTTATAACCACTTCACAAGCACAATTGCACCTCATGCCGACATCCTTTTCCAAAGACAGTCAGCAGCGTCTTTCGTCAAAACTGGAAGATCAATCCCCTTTCAACTGTTAACATCAAACATATTTCTTCATGGTGTGATTTCCATATGGAAACCTTACAGGAAAAGAATTAATGTCAATTGTCAGCTCTTCAAATTTCTTTGGACTTTCACTTGCAGTACCATATCCAGTTTGCTTTGATATTTTGTTTTTTATTCCATGTTGAAGTTGAACACCAAGCTCCAGATATAGCAGGCAGCTTGATCATATTCGGCCTTGGTATAATATCAGTCCAAGTTCCAGTGGTGGGTATCTTCTAATATTCAAATTAAAATGAAAAGCAATAGGCTTTCTCATGTCAACGCCGACGACGGATTTCACGTTGATAAAAAAGGGAGCTCAAGGTCAGCAAAACTCGGGTTCAAGGAATGGCGGGCGTTGAAATGACTGCTGACGTCATCGAAAAACCGCTAATGGTTAAGAGATAGGGACTAAGCTGGTCCCAGTCCCACCCTGCAAGTAAAGGGAAGAAATTTCTTGAACACCATAAACCTGCGGGGGTTGCGACCAGGATAAATGGTGGTTTCTGAGCCTGGCCGCAAACTTGGCTATCTCAACTCAAAACTAATGTTAAGGTGGGATGGTCCCTTTAATGCCATCCTGACGTTTTTTTTTTTGCAGAATAAAGTGGCCGAAATCTGGGGAGAAATCGAAAATTGGGGGGGGGGGGGGCTATGGTTACGAAGGTCAGTCCACGTCGCTGCCCAAGTGGCCCACCAGTCAAAATTCCTTAGCCGAGGCCCTGCCGCCGTGAGCATGCAACTTAACAATCAGTCCCGAGTTATCTTCATATACGTCTAATATAAATATTTTTGACTTTAACTAGATTCCAACTACGGGGATTTATCCCCCTGGCGGCAGGTATATATAACAGCTATAGTTAGGGCATTGCCCCTATTGATGACGCTCCGTGACGGCTGGAAATTGAGAATTTCGTCCCGTGATACGCCAACAGCTATGCCGAAATGTTTGTTTTTTGTGCGTGCTGATTCTTACACGAAAAAACTATCTACAGTAGCCTGCTAACCAGCGTGCGATTTTTTACTTTTCATCTTAGTTTTCGCTACTTTTAGGTACCTTACTTACCATGCCAAGTGCCCACCTACTTTCAAAAGGTCAGCGCCGCCCCTGTCATCCTATCCAGCAGGAGCTGCGTGCTATCACCCATTGGCAGTGAGAAATATTGATCAATGGCCATCGCCCAGCACTATTTGTCTTTCGTGGTATGACAGTTTGACGTTTGTGAAAAGTGATAATATGACATGCAATACCCATATATGTGTTCACATTATCACTTTTCACACATATTTGTCTTTCCATTGGCTACGTTCGCATAGTATGCACTATGCATTAGTGATGTCAATCATAGAAAGTCAGAGCACCGATACCAAACCAAATACAAATCAAAACCATTGGAAAATACCGAAACCGAACCGATCGGTTGGACGGCAAATATTTCTCTTATGGAACATGTTCATTAGAAGAATACTTTTATACTTATCTCTGATTTCTCAGGTGCACGTCGTTGCAAATGTATCCAAAAAATGCATAATGACACGAAAGTTGAAGTCGCCGAGTGGATTCGAATCCTTGTCACTAGTTGGATACTCTAATCACTTCGCCACGGCAACAACAGATGTAAAGCAGCTTAAATATCCTTAAGTAAAACCTAGCTTTAATAGACGCCACCAAGGGCGAGGACCGAACTTATGACGCCACGTTGACGTCACTCAAGAGGCACGCTATTGGTCGGCCGATTCGTGTAAAACACTTGGCTGCCGGGCCGGTGCTCCGCGACTTCCGCGCCGGGCCGGGGGAGGGGTGTCTGAACACCCCCGCCCGTCTAACTCGGCTCCTGGGCCACGTAGCGACACGCAGTAAGCGACATTCGAAAGAGCATCAAAAATAATGATGGAAACACTTCAGTTATTTTTTTGGGTCAGGCCAAAGGTCAGGTCGCCACTCCAGAGGCCATCAAAGGTGTCAAAAACTCAAAAGTAGTCCATTTCAACAATTTTGGAAACTGCCAACGGCTAACTCGGAAACCAATAGAGTTGCAGCGCCGCAGAAAAGCGCATTCGATAGCCCTTTTTCAGACCTTTTCGGGTATTGTTCTCAGATTTGACCTCAGGTCAACGGTTTAGCCTCCAGAGGGCAAAAACCTAAAATAGCAGTTTTCACGAAAACTGTTTTTCGGCAATAACTTTTGACACAAGAGTACCACGACATTACATTTGGCAGCATCGTGTTCCTCTCGTCGAGACGCGTCGAAAGAGCTATTTGTTGACCTTGAGTTGAAAATTTGACTTCAGGTCAAGGTCATGACCTGACCGAAAAGGGTCATGTTGCATATCAGTCGATCCGTATCGTCGAGCAGAATACATCTGACGTGTTTTCGTCGCTCTAGCACGTCCTTATCAAAAGTTATAGCCCAAAAACTGCTGGTAACCGTTCGTGACCTGAGATGACCTCAGGGGCACACTGAGGAATCACAGCCACTAGCCAGGTGCATTTTTCCGATTCAGTGTGTCATTTAGGTACCTATGAACCGATGTTTGAGAGGGTTTTGAACAGAATTCGTCAAAAATAGGCTAGGCGCATTTCAATTTTCTCCCATTGACTTATATAAAGGTCGCAAAATTGACTTGACCCTAGGTCACCGATATCAAAATTCCGAGAGATACATTTTGCACATAGGTACTGCTACTCCTATCAATGGCTGAAAGTTTCAAGGCGATCGTTCAGTCGGTGTAGCTATGACGAGGATTGCAACTTTTTCTGAGGCGAGGTCACTTGACGTGACCTGGTGGCTGGTGACCTGACCTTGAGAGCCCTGGGTCTGAAATTTTCACATGTGTAGAAAAGATGCATGAACAGGTGGGCCAAAAACAGCGGCGCGGAGCGCCACCGTTTTTGAGAAATCTGCGAAAAACCGCAGGGGGGGGGGGTCAGGGGTGTTCAAACACCCCCGGCCCGGTGCGGGTTAAGCGGATTTCCTTGGATTAAAAAACACCTCTTTAATTAAAAATGATATTAGTTTTGTTTTCCTGTGTATAAATATAAATCAGATCTCAAAATCCTGGAAATATACAGAAATTGAGCCCACATAAGTGCAGAGAGAAAATACATTATATGATCTGTTAAGTAATTAGTTTGTGTGTTCTTTGTCAATTTGTTTGTCTCTCTGACGCTTTTGATTCGTTTATAGCGCAGAGTTTCAGGCGCGCTCTCTGGCCCTGCTCTGGCCTAGGCTTGCACGGTTTATATTGATATTGATGTTTATTATTTGCGTTCTGAATTGATTGGGCAGTGCCTTAGTTTGATTGCTTTTTTCGTGTGATATCGTTGCATTTTGGGAAGTCGATTTGGAACTTTGGGAGCAATGGCGACTGCATCGCGTTCTTCCTTGTCGGCCTGGAAACGTGACGTCGATGACAATACTGTGGAATATTTTATTTTTCCTGAACTTTCCTCCTGTTCGACCAAGGTTGAGGCTCATGAGCGACTGAAAGACTTCAAAGATAAATGCATGAGTACTGTGCAGAGTGATCTTGAGGCATACATCTGGCAGAATGAGCCATTTGCCCTTCATGTTCCTCCTGAATCTAGGTTCCAGCTGGTGCCTAGTGGCAAAGCTTGCTCAAGTGCAGAAAGTGGAAAAGGTATGAATGATGGCGAACAGCCTTCTTTGGCTCAATCCAACTGTTTTTTAATACTATGAATTATAAACGATGCTTGAAGCTACGCACTGTCCAACCTAAAATAGCCCATAATGTGTCAATAATATCAGAGTTGCTGCTGTTACTTACGCATTCAAAAGAGTTGTCATTAATTTTTGTATGCCATTAATAATCTGTACTTAAGCACCACCACTATCATCATCATCCCTCTCAGAAAAATTGTTCTATCCTGCTTTGAAGGGTAGGTAGGTACCTACAATGGAAAAGAATTCATTCATTGTCTGATGCAGGTACTGTTTTCTTATTCCAGCAGCAAATAATTGATCACATCCATCTTTTCCACTCCACAGATGTGCTTCCTCCATTCCTGTGGGGTCGGACCTGCTACGCAGACAGTGTGGACGACGAGTGGTTCATAGTGTACCTGGTGACCCGGCTGACGAGGGAGTTTCCCGGCGCTGTGGGCAGGTGAGTCCCAATGCCAGATCATTGGGTTTTAGATAAGAGACTGTGCTTGATTCATATGCATGCTCAGCAATGATGCATGGTGATGGTGTAGCAGAAGTTGCAGTACTTACAGCTACAATTACAACAATTTATATTTATCCAATGCCCATGGCCATCTGCTATCCAGTGACCCAACAATTCTGCCAATGAATAACTTCAGCAAATAAATGGGATGAGAAAATGTTGGTATGACTTGTAGTAGCAGTGCTTGTCTCCAATGTTTGCCCCTTTCAATAGATGATTAATTGGTACCTATCTACCCAACGCAAAGCATTAGCAGGTATTTTGTGACGTTCAACCCTCTAAACTTCTTTTCTCAGCACTTGTTTTTCTGCTCAATTTTCTGGTCTTGCAGTTTGCTTTGTTATCTGACTGATCACTCCACATAGGTAGTGGATATAGGCAATTATGGAGCAGGGAGAATCATTCCCTTTAAACAGGCCAGATTTAATTTTATTTTCTTGTCAGTAAGAACAGTTGCAGCTGTTTAAAACATTCACCTTTTTAGTTATACATAGTTCAAATCTAGAGGAGTCAATAGAAACAGTGTCTCCCGACTAGACACAGCATATTTCCACTGGTACAATGTCAAAACATCAAGGATCCTACAGTTCAACAGTTTTGGGGCTAAAACATTAGTCTGAGTGACAAGCCATGCTATTTTTTTTGGAGTAAAACTCGCTTTAGCATGCATATGCACAATCACATCTTCAATTAGGCAGTATTATAAGAAAAGTTTGGTATGACTTTTGCCGAGCATTGCCGTAACAGTTTGCGAGCTTCCGAGTCTAGGCGTTCTGTCACTTGTACTGCCTGTAGCCACTGTTAGGTGCACTGGCACTCGTGCTGTCTTTAGGTGTACTGTCGTCTGTATCGTACCTATGTGGGCTTACTGTTCGTAGGTTCACTATCAGTTGTACTGTCAGTAGGTGCACTGTTGCTTGTACATACTATTGGTAGATGCAATGTCGCTTGTGCTGTTGGTAGGTGCCATGTCGTTTTTAGCGTGTCGGTAGAGGTGTACTGTTGTTGGTACTGTTGGTAGGTGCAATGTCGCTTGTATCGTTTCGAGTAGAGGTGTACTGCTGCTTGTACCGTTTCGAGTAGAGGTGTACTGCTGTTTGCACCGTTTCGGCTAGAGGTGTGCTGTCGATCGTACCCGCGATAGGTGGCGACATCTGGAAAAACGATCCTACCGCCATCTGTCAAGGAACGTTGATTCCGTCTTCATTATAGTCGACACTCGGCCGTCGCCATTTGACACCTTTGGCCTTTTATATATTTTTTTCGCTCTTTGGAGGATGAAATTTGGATTAAGACCTTTTCAAATCACGGTAAATCTTTATTTTTGCAACGAGAAAGCTTTCTCCGAGACGGTGCAGAGCTTTGCTGCGCCCGAAGATTAGTTGACAATTCTCACCGCTAGGTGGCAGGAGATGTAAACGCCTGAAGCTATACTGACCCGCAGTGACCATGTAAAACAGATCAGCACCCGTGCAGTCGATGTTTATGATCTTCACTCGTGGAGTTCTTCGGGATGCTGGAAAATGAAATTGGATAATGGTTCATCTGAACTGAGAAATACGACGGCCGTCGTATCGACCCGGGTCGATTGTCGCTTTTCTGCGACAGTGGTCCAATTGAGCACGTTTTTAGCGGCTGATTGCTAAATTCCCAAACACCTGAAATGTCCGACATCCTGTGTTAATTTGTCATGCGATCTTTTTGTGACTCTAACCATGGTCTGATCTTGATCACTTTTCACTTGATCACTTGATCACACACTCTTGATCATCCAAACTATGGGACCATCGGCTGCTCTTCAGCGGTGAGATGACCGATTTGTTTGTGAAGATCGTGTAGATCTTTTTCTCGTCTGATCATGTCGTAACGCTATAATAGCCACGGTACCTAGATAATGATCCATGCTACGTCGGGAAAGATAATAGTGATAAAAAAATAATCGCAAGGTAAAGTAGAGTTTGATGAAAACAGACAAATACATATTATTATGTCTCGTGTCATTATATTTACCAGGCATTCGTTTGTGCGCCTTGTCTTCAGATTTGCTGTATGTAATGGATGCTGCATACCGTATTAACATATACCTACTCCCTAAATAAGATTACACCGAACGTGCCAGCGAGCATAATCTTGTAACCATTATGTTAATATGTACCCTAACTCAGTGTCTGCCTACCTATTCCAATATTGACATCCTTTCCCTTCCTCTCATGTCTCGACAGATGATTTTTATTTTAAAGTTGTAAGTGTCTAGAAGCAACAACATGCAGTACCAATGCGATGCAGAGCAACATAATGCTGTTGAATAATCTGGGCTATGACTCGGCATAAAACTACGTGCAGCTGGTCTGGTGGCCGCAGGACCTTACAGGACACGAATGTTAAGTACAGCTGACACGATAGTGATATATTCCATCGGGAAGCAGCCTAAGCAAGGCTAAGATGACCTCAGGCGAGTGGTTTAACTATGCTGACACTTTACTTGATGGCTACCGAATGACGGAAATTCGCTCCATAGCGAATGTCAGAAGTGGCTTGGCTGTCTAAACTCTGAGTCTGAGATTTTCGACTTCTCAACGAATAAATCCGAACAAATCTGAAACACAACACCGAATTGTTGACGATCCGTAATTCCTAGTAAACAATCACCGAACAATTTTCCAAAGGCGAAAGGTATCCATTATCCATAATTTACAGCCGCAAACTTACCCGCTTACGCGCATTTCCAGACTACATACTTACATTGCCAACTTAGAGTGCAGTGTTAGAGTACATTGTTAGGTACAGTGCTTATAGTGCAGTGTGGGGTAGTCACGTGTTATTTGTGTCGCGTGGCGTTTGTTTCACGTGCTCGTGCCGTACCATCTGTGCGTGTCACCTAATGAGTGGAGCGGTGCTCACACGCATTTAGCGGCGTTCTGGAACCTCAAAGTGCCGCCGAAAGGTTTGTCACCACCCCAAAACGACATCGACCGCTGCTGTCGATTTTTTCCTCTTTTGTCGGTACCGTAGAAGTCTCCGAGATCCTTCAAAAGATTGGTGTTTTTCTTGTTTTACTAATTATCACTGTTGGATCTCTCGTTACCCGAAAATAACTTTGGTACTTATTGGCTGTTTGGTTTTAGGGACAAGCTGCGTGCCTTTTTTGTGGTGCAGGATAGCTAATTCTGTCGGAATGCTGCAACTCGGCGCAGAAGATAGGACGATAACGCTGCATTTGCAACTTTTTGCAGACGAATACGGCTTTTGGCGCCGGAGCTAATGTTCTTAGACAATTGAGCCGGTGACCTTTCTACGAGGATCCTGATAACTCCATATTTTCGAAGGCAACTGCAGTCTGCGTGCCTGATACCTTTGCCTTCAACCCATATGGGATCACTGAATAGTTTGAGGAATAGTTTTAGGGATGAGGAAGAGACAAATAGTGTATTTTACCTGTCTTGACCCTCAAAAGTCAAAAGTTTGGTCGGCGCGCCCCTAACCCCCAACAAACAAACAAACTCTCAAAAGTTTGCTGTTATTTTCGTCGTTTTCTCGAAAAAAAACTGTCATGTTCCTCGTTTAATCGCTTTACACAGTTTCTTTACTTTTCGCTTCATGTTCGTTCACAAATAAGTATGAGTTTTTTTTTTTTTTGAATGGTGAAAATTCTGTAAATGCCCTCAGGTCTCAACCCAAGTTAGTTTCTTTCAGTTTGAAGTAATGCCAAGGAAATGAGTTTGGCTGCAACGACAACTAGACTGATTTTTTGTCAATGACGGCGATGCCAGTTTTCAATACGTGTCTGTTGTTTCTCTGCTGTTGGAGTTAACCTCCGGCATTGATGAGTGCTCTACCGGGACTCAGATTGTTTGCAATGTCAGATGCGTTCTCGTTTTCCTGAAGAAATACGTGCTAAAGCTATATGAGCTACATAATTGCTAAGAGGCGGCATAGTTCTTCTTCAAAGTCAATGAGATCCCTCGACCATTTTTAAGGGCCTTGACGAGATCGGATTCCAAAGCATCACCGCTTGCGAGGGCCAAGTCATTGTCGCGTGCGCCTCAAATTCAGAGCCTGCATTGGTGCATAGAACGCTTCGTGATCTGCGTGTTTCCAAAAATCGCTCGGTTACAGCACGTGAAAACGATCTTGGCAAATGCTCGGCATGGCTGGTTTTGAACAGGTATTAGCATTGCTGAGCGGTCAAAACCGGTGTAGCTTTGTGCGCATCTAGTGCGTGCTATACTGAATTAGATCCAATTATGATGGCATTTATGCTAGTGTGCAAGCAAGTCTGCATTGCCAGCCTCCGTTGCATGCATCGTTTTGCATTGATGACATGCCTTTGGTGTGGTTTCAGACCGTCTGAGATTTAACTCAGTTGTTCGTATTGATTGATTGAAACTGTGGTTTTGATTCTCACGCCGATCGGCTCCTTCCGAATGTTTTTTTCTTTAGTGTTGATAAGTGCTGATTTATTCAGTTAGTTAGTGGTCTGCACTCTGAATATAGCTCTTACCTTCGGTAGTCAAGACTGTAGTAAGTAGAGTAAGAAAAAGTCCCGACTTAAGCTAGTCAGCTGATCTTTTGTTTTCGTGCGAGTTGGCCCTTCCCGCTGTCTCAAGGAGCCAAATCTATCGTAATCTACATGCAATCTTTCGGCCTCGTCTTCATATAATCCACGTCTCTCCCGGGTAAACGACATACAGGGTGTCCCAGAATTACCCGGACATTGTTAATTAGCGTATAAAATAAGGCAAACATGATTGCGCTTTTTTCTTTTTATCGTCCTATATAGCCAACTAGGGTGGCTGTGAAATAGCACATGCAATAGATACGCTTGTTACAAGATCAGCCGACAATGATTGAAAATGCCAGCCATTGCTGGTCTCAGTTGTTTTACGGCTCTCCCGAAACTGGGTGAAGGCCTGTTTTCTTTTACCTGTTGCTGGAGG